AGCCTTGAATATTGCTGTTAAATTGCTAAAATGACACATTTACCTCTTACATCAACCTGTTTGCATTCTCATAAATTTACAGTATATGAACAAAAGCACTGGGCCACACCTCTTAATCTTTGAATTCAGCTGTATAAAAATAAAGCAACAAGCAATTACAAGCAATTGTAAAAGAACTGGTTATTCGATACCCCCCCTGCAACAGGTTTGTGAATTTATTTCCTTCTGGATATTCTACAATTAACTGTAAGTGTAAGCACAGCAACTCAGCCATGTAGTGGCGGACTACGTAAAGTTAGAGAGCCGTCAACGCTCTGCTGACTCAGCAACGGCAGAGTTTTAAACCTCCCCTGCATAAACATCAGGACAAAAATTGTGCACTGAGGGCTTTCATGGTGCGATATTCCAGAGTGCTTTTGTCCATATAGTGTATTTCATTAGTCACAACCAGTGCAAACTAAAATAAATCAATGAATGATCAATGGCAGATAATAAAGGACAGCGCAGGACGGTGGTACTCACGGCTGACAGAGCTTGACTAAGTCATGATCTGTAGTTGAAGGGGACAGGCCTCGGATGTAGAGGTTTGTTTTGCTGAGCTGCTCCCAGCCTGCAGTGCTACTGCTGCTGCTGTTGTTGGTGCTGCTGTTGGTGCTCGGGCTGGGTGGAGCCATGGGATGTGACAATAGAGCAGGTTGCTGTTGTACGTCAGGGAAACAATAGGTTAGACTCGTTTCAAGGGTTCATCAAAAGCAAACGGTTTATTATCCATTCATACATGTTGTTACAACAGACACATACACGGGGAAAAACAAGGATCTGTCTGAACCCTGGAAACCAGCATGGAAACATGTAATGTCCAGTGTGAGAATTATTATTATTATTATTTTTTGCATACCACTGATTCATAGATACAGGGCAATCCCCAACATACCTCTGCAGTCAGCATAATCAGCCCACACAGCCACCTGTAGCTTTGACATCAGCATCACACTAACGTCACAATGCCTCAGGGTGTCGAATAAGCTATCTGCAGCCATCTAAGGTGTAGCTCTAAACCCTTTAACCTCAATATTCTGCTATGCTTTACTTATTTAGGGATGGCTTTTTAGACTTCAATATATATGTATGACAGTCTTTTCACAAAGTGAACCAACGCTTTCAGTGTCAGCACTGTGTTTGTTAGCCACTGAGCCTCTTTATCGAAGGCGGGGAATATAAAAAAAAGTAAAAGTCCTCTGGCGACTGAGCAACTTTGAGCTTTGTGTTTACAAGACACAGATGTCCCAGTCTGACAGAACTTCTCCCCTTGGGGATTTGTCTCCCTCCTCACTATCTGACAGTGATTACCCCCGACCTCCAATCCCTCCCCCCACCCCCCTCTTTAAAGAATCACACGCTGAGAGGAAGCTGATGGCATCCCAAGCACGAAGTGGTGACAGGATTGAGCAATCCAAATCTGGACGTCAGCCTAGAGGATCTTCTCTTGTGACCAACTGGTCGCCTGCCTCACATGCCTTCACCATGAAACAAGCCTGACCTACTGTTTTCCCACTGACTGGGGGCAAAAGTCTCTATCTCCCTCACCCTTAACCACCAGTCACCCACTCTTCGAAGCATGGTGAGATTGCTACACAATTTGAACAGAATGAGATTAATGGGAACAACTGATAAAAGTCAAATTATTAATCGCCTAAGATGGTGCGTCTCTTGATAACAGCAAACACAGATTTTTCACATATTGTCAGGCCAAAAGATGTAAACAATAATTACCTTACTAGAATTCTGCAAGTACCATATCATCCACGTTCAATCTTAACGAGCTACTACACCTCCTGTATCTTTTTTTATTTTCAGTTTCATTAAAATACACTATACGTAATCCTTTTATATTCCTGTGGATGGTTATGGGAGGACTTAAACCTGTGGGTGGCTACACCCTGAACCAGTCACCACTCCATCACAGAGCCAACACAGCCACGCTTATGGTCAATTTAGCATCACCAATTAACCTAAAGAGTATATTTTTGGACTCTGGGAGGAAGTATCGAGAGAGGCACAGGGAGAGCATTCAAACTCCACACAGTCAGCAGACACAAAGCAAGAACCCTCTTGCTGTGATACAACAGTCCAATGTGCCACCCAAAAATAAGAATAACAAATAAAACAAGTCTTATTAAAGCTAAATTCGTGGTCTCTCAAAAGACAGACTCTTAAACAGACACGAATCACATCCTGGAAAAAAAAGCATAGCTGATGCTATCTCTGGGTACATAATTAACAAATATATTTGTCATATTAAGAACTTAAACAGTAGGAAAGGAGATGAAGAAAAACAACCAAAAGCTCCAAGTTATATCTTTAAACTTGGCAGAGTCACTGCCAAATAATAGTTTTGTTTAAAAACACAAAACAAAAACTCTTTTCAGCTCTAAATGCCACATAATATAAAGTGAGACATGCCCTACACGCCCTATATGCATGCACCTCGGTGACCGTTTATAACACCAACACACAAGGCAAGGCGATCTTAAAAGAGGATTCCGGCCACAAAGACCACAGCTTCATGTTTCAAAGCCTGGGACTCAGGTGGCTGTAACCTCCCTTTTTCTGTGGGGCTGAAAGTGAATTTGGCTTTCAGACAACTGGCTGATGCAGGAGTGGGAGAGACTGAGATGGGGGAGAGGACGACATCTTATCAGCCAGCTACAGACCAGCGGAGCCCGTCATATCCTAGCCGGAAATATACACAGTGTTTCCAGTAACAGGCCTCACCCATGGAGCTCTAGCCACAGGATAACAGCATGAGCAGCGCAAAGTAAATATGCTTATTCAAACCATTGACTCAAGGGGTGTTTTCGACATCTATATGTAACTGGCACAAAGTTAATCCATCAGCGGGCAATGAGGCATCCATACTGTGTAATTATACGCTATAGAGGGGAAGATCTGTAGCCTTCAGCAAGTAAACTCAGCGGATGCATTTACTCTCGAATAGATAAAGCAGCCAGTGGCTTACTGCGCTGACAGAGAGCGTAATGAAACAGAAACCAAACAAAATAGAGACTGGTGCAAGTAAACATGCACCCTAGAAGTTGTTATGCGTGGCTTAGTTTATGTAAAGTGGTGTCGATGGCCAGTTCATGTTGTCCCTACTACAGGACCTGGACCGCAGCCAAGGAGCAGCAAGTATTCTCATTATTCATAAGTAGCCTATGTGGCGATTACATCACAAAACGTGAACGCTGCCACTTTAAATAACAAGTAAAAAAGTTTTCTCGGTTCACATTCGGTTTATGTGCGCTGTGCGATTCTCTCATACAGACTTATTCCATAAGGCTGCCAACGAGCCAACTTTACGTCGTAAGCCTGGTTTTTAGTAAATATTTGTTTATTTACCTGTTTGCGATGAGGAGTCCTTATCGGGTTTCCAGTATTGGCAAAAATCATCCTCAACTGGACAGTGGGTGTTAGTTGTTGCTAAAGCTACAGATTTCAGGTGAAATGCACCAAACTCCACGTACAAGTAGAATATATGTTGATAGATATCCTCCTTACTCCGCTAAAAGACAAGAAAACTGGTTTCTGCGCATATTCGCTGTATACATATCCTTGTTGTCGTCGACTATCTGGCAACAGAAACCTCCGCAAATTGTCCCAACTTCAGTCGCCCAGCCCCGTCTCTTTTCTACTTAGCGACTATACGGGCTTCATTGATTTGCAGTCAGCGCCGCACAGGACAGACGCCGCTAAGGTGGGAGAGACCATTTATGCTTTTGGGCGTAGGGGGGTTGGCGTTCATGAAAGGTAGCCACAATTAATTCTAGCTACCACATTTTTTGTTTAATGAGTATTAAATATATGTCATGTATTATAGCTTAACTGTTCTTCATGTGTGCGAGACTATCTGCAATGTCCTCGTTATCTAAACACATGAAACCAAGGCGCTGTTTCTCCCTCTGTTGTCGTTATACGTATTCAAGGCTACATACCAAACGTTCCACTGTGCACATCCACCGTCCTGGATGTGTTACCTTGGTATTGTTCTACGTGAAAAACAAAAGGGCAAAACAAGATCTGTGCTATTAATTGCATTCAGTTTAGGTGCAGCCATCTGTCATCAAAGTGAAACCCAGTGTTTAAGGGTCATGCGTCACCCTACCTCAAGCAGCACATTTATTAGCCATTAGCCAACTCCACCAGTCACAGTGAAGAAATTGGGATACACTAATAAAAACCTGAAAACAAAATACTGTGTCTACCTACAATCATAGCTTATAAGGTCTCTCAAACACTGTAGCTACATATCTGGCTTGAAAATACTAAAGATAATATGTTTTCCCTCATTTTGGTAAACTGACCCTTTAACCCTCAACCTAACCACATTTTTTGCATACATGGAATACCACTGGGACCCCGGGGGACCCAAAAAGAATTTACTATTAAAACCAAAAATATAAGAGCAAAAGAATAAAAAGCAAACAAAATTAACAAAAAAAGAAATAATAAAAGTATTATCACATATGCAAATAATGAAATCTAAAGAATTTTTTCCCCCTTTTTTTACAAGTACAATCAATTTGCAAGTTTCTTAAAACTAAAATCTGTACTTTTTAAATTTTTTATACAGCTTGCAGCTTTTATGCAAAGTGCAATCCATACTATTAAATAAAAGCTTATTTACCATTCTTTGATTCTGGCATCACTTTTGATTCTGGTATAAATTAGTTTTCAGTAATTTCAAGTGTCGTATTTAAAGGGGGAAATCAATCCATCTTTTTTGACCTCAGTGTAATTTAAATAAACATGCAACCAGGCCGCCCAGAGATGTAATCTCTACCGCATGTTCCTGGTCTGCTCCGGGGTCTCCATTATGCTTGATTTATGCTACCGTGGTAGTGTCCATTTGGAGAAGTATTTGCCTACGGAAAGGGGTTTTCAGCCACCACAAAAATGCTCCTCTGCAGTTCTCCAAAGTTCCAGCAAGCATAAAAAAATACAAAATGGATAAACAGTGGCCGCAGTGGATACTTTTCATTGTTTAACACTTGGTTTCAGTACTTAACTCTCCACCCAGGTTACCTGATGCACAAACAGCAGCAAAGCAGGAGTAGCCCACAGACTGGTTGTACCACACATTTTTGATATTTTAGCCCATCTGGCAACAGACATTTTCTGCAGGTTGATGGTCAGTATGAAGCTGCAGATGGACTGCATTGATACTTTGCTGTCTGTGATTCAGGACCAAAGGTAGCAACTTTTTCCAGCAGATCATCCAGCTGAGCATTGGACAGTCACACCAGCAGGTGGTTTTCCTCACTTCCAAGAGGGCCATTGCTGTGCAGATTGGGGTGCGTGTTGTAGCGCTATCAGCTCTCCTTTTTTGTGTGCGACGTAACCAGGTCATGTCTAAGCTCTCAAAGGTACAGTAGATCCAGCAACATCTCCAACATTCTGATAACCCTGAGCTTGGAAAGGTCCCCATTCAGATGATGAAAGCAGCAATGGCATCTGAGTATTTCTTTAATGAAAGAGTGCACCTACATCTCCTGGATACTATGTGTTCCTTTAGTTTGTACTTTAATTTAAGACTAATTGTACCCATTAGGTGAATAAATAGTTCCATTTATTAAAACTGCATAGGTGGAATTGGGTATTTTCAAACAGATCCTGTGGAACACCAAAACTGTGTATTTTTAAAAGGTACTAATCAAAACAAAAATGGAAAACAAGAAGCCTGCCTTTCTTTGAGGTAAGAAGGGCAGGTTTTGGTATAAAATCAAATCAATCCACCTAACTGTCACCAGCTTCTGATTGGAAAACACAATGCTTTTGGGAGAAAGTGTTATGCTATAGCCGCTGTACAGATATGCCTTTATAGGCTGCTTAAACAGCTTTCTTTCATGGTCTAGATTTCAGTTGGGTTAGGCTAGCAGCTGTTTTGTATTAGGTGCACATGGTATTCTTTACCAGTATCTCATCAAAATGCAAATTTGCAAAAACGAGAGGCATACTGTGGTGGAGTATATTGAAAAAGGTCCCCAGGGCCTGAAGTCACTGAAGCGATCCTGAATCCATGATATCACTGTCCTTTTAATGAAGGCATCTGTATTGATAAATGTAATGTGCGGTAAATATTCCTTAATGAGACCAACCAAAGGTCACCGGTAATGTAAAAAGGCTCGCCAGGCCAACAGAAGTCAATGGTTCAGCAGTAAAAGAAACAGAGGGAGGGATCTGATTCAGCAGTCTACTCAGGACACTGGAGGGGGGTGGGGTGGAGAGTCAACTGAATTACCACTTTTTATGAAACGGTGAAAAGAAAGGTTAATGCAGCTTCCTCCGTGTGTGTAGCACTAAAAAAACCAAAACAAAACAAAACAAAAAAACCTAAATTAACTCTGTATCTTCAACTCCATTATTTATAAGAAAACTATTCTGAATTTATTTATACCAATCTATCAGTTAAAGACGGCTAGGGTAGGGTAACAGTTGTCCAGAGTGCATGTCACACCATTAGCTGTGGTGCAGCCTAGACTGCACATGCAGATTCACTCAAACAGGCTCAAACTTGCATACGAGCAAAGATTAAAAGATCACATACAAACCTTTATACGCACAGATAGACAAGCTCAAACTCTCTCTCTCTCTGACTCTTTCTCTCTCTCATACACACGCAGAGACACACACTCACACTCACTCTGGGTATTTCCAAGGGAAATAAGAGAGTGAGGTTATTTTAGGACATTGTGCTACTTGGCTACTTGTTCTCGCTCTTCCCTGAACTCATGAAAACAGTCTGTACCAGCAAACAAGGGGAATATAAGAAAAAGTGTTTTGCCCTCACAAATTCTAACAATAATTACAGCCTCACAACTCGACCTGTGAAAGCCAGAGACACGTTTGTCCTCACTTCCCCCTCGGCGTTAGACTCCTGACAAGTGGCACTGCACAAATCAGGGTTGCATGGAGTTTTAGCAGCTCCGGGAAGCTGTTAGTAACAGCTCTGTACCTTCCTGCCTGGATGCATGGCTTGGGTTGAGGTGGGGGTGCACAAACTCTCTTTGGTAGCAATAGAGTCATTTCCCCTGACTCTTGGCTATAAATTAGCCACAGGAAAAAAAAGAAAGAAAAGCTGACAATGCCTATGTGTGTTTGTCTTTAATTCAGGTGCTGGTAGGGGTGGCATTCCTGACAACTCCTATCAGTTATCCCAAAATGACTGAGTCACCCGCTCCATAATGAAAAATTGAGGATGATCCCTTTTAGTGGCTAAGAATGACATCATACATTAGATCATACATTAAGATGTTTGAGATGTCTTTCCCACTCCTCAGTGACCCTCACCATATGGTACATATCTGTGTTTGACTTACAGCATTATAAAGGACTTGGATTATTACCCAGTTTTCAGCAGTGCCATTATTTGTCAGGTCCTTTGGTTAGGTGATCCTTTAGTTATCATAGAACACATCTGTTTTTGTATGAAAGAGACAGATTAAAGACACAGTTGTTTAACATTTATTGCATATTTTGTAGAGACCTGCATGCATTCACTGTACAATGCATGGCAATGCAATTGATGAATGAAGAATCCAGAATTGAAAGAAAAAAGTCACTGCAACTATTTCTCAGGGAAATATTCAGTGTTAAATCTAAAGTACTAATAGGTCATGATAGCTTAAAAACAATAGCATAAAAATGATAGCGTTTGCAAATAAATTATAGTTTAGTTGAAATTTTTTCTGCCGTGACCTTTTCCTTAGAAGCCACAATGAAGTGATGTAAAAGCATCATAAAGATAGAATTATAAATACATGCCTCCTAAAGACCACACATCATCTCTTTATATGTGTCGTCACATAAAGGGTTTGTGTGTTCACATCTGCCACATTTCCATATATATGCGAAGCTTTTCTTAATGCTTAAAAATTTCTAAGAGGAAGTAACTGCAAGTGAGGTTAAATCGTGGAGTTTGACCTTCATTTTGTTAATGTCAAATGTCCTGCAGTAGTAAGCGTGCAAAAGGAAGTTCTTTCATGCCTGATACTCATATAACCATTGGGCTGCTCCATTGTGTGCATTCTGCTGCCAGGCAACTCTCAAAGCTATATTGTAAACATTGTGTGGTGCTGTTCAGTCTTTGCATTATACTATTGTCTACGGTTCCACTGCTGCACCTCATGCATTCACCTTGACAATAAAGTTTGCTAATTAAAATTTAGGCTGGTGGAGTCTAAGAGACATTTACAATAATTATGTAACAATGAAAAATGAGAAGCAACAAATGAATTTTAGGGAAATTCAAAGACTTGGATACAGATGGCAGGTGCAGTTCTATCAAGATCACAATAAGAGATTATTTTGCACATCAATTGCATGTCACCATAGCCTTTTCACTCTTTACACACTCATTGTTCTTTGTTTTATTAAACACTTTGGTGATGTCA